CATGCTCTCGTGTGACATTTCCTGGAAGACAAAACAGCACCTGTTCACCCCAGAAAAGGCTCTATGACAGACCAAAGAAATGATTGTGCTCAAGTTTGTCTTCTGGAATCAACAACTTTATTGGACTACCTTCAGGCACATGGGAGAGTTTGTAATTACAGCAGAATGGGCAACTAAGGTCAGATGCATCAATGTAAAGCCTACTCCAGCATGCATGCTGACTCATAAAAACTGCATTCTTGGAGCTCCCTGCATGACTTGAAGTGAAAGTCATCTCTCCCCAGAAATTGTTTACTGCTTTGTGATCCTCTGGAGGAGTCCTCTGACTTTGTATACTTCCTGAGCCTTATGCACATCCCTCCTCCCCCTAGAAAGCATTGGATCTTTTTTGGTTCAGAGAAAATGGTTTCACAAGCTTGCTACCAAGGAGGTCATGTAGCATTTACATTTTACTTTGGATTCCAAATATGGCTTGCAATTTTAACTACCTTGTCAAGTATATTTATAGAAATGTGTACATAATTCCCCATTTTATATCCAACAGGACAAAGCATTCTCTTTTGTCAGTGTGATGTAGCCGCAACCCCTAAAGAATGTTTTCACATTTGTACTTCTGCTTACATTAGCAACTCTCATTTCTGTATTATTCCAAGCACATGGAAGTGCTCACCAAAGGGTCTTCAGAAAGCTGCTCAGCTCTAAAAGATTATTTTAGCATCTGAGTCCTCAGAATAACTGGTGATAATTAGTGCAGGCTAGGTTGCCTGGGATGCAGGTGCTGATATAGAGATCAATGCTCATGAGTTTTGTCATGGAGGGATTTTGTGACTACAAAGGAAAAAAGTCAGATTAGACAATAAGATAAATACAAAATCATGAACGTCCCCAATGAACATATATGATATTCGAAATAGGTAAATAGGTGAACAGTATATGGTGCTCTGAAAACCAAAAACAAAAAACCTCACGAAGTCATATACAAAGCAAAGCAAAGACTGAGCTGAACTTAACAAAACCCAGACCTAGGTCACATTTTCAGTTCAGATATCCTCAGGGGGCATGTCGAGAGCTGAGAATTCTGGTTGCAATTCTCATGAAATAATAAGAGGAACTCTTGAAGTTTTTGGTCCAATCTATAACAGTGCAGCATTTCAGTATTAAAAATCATTCCAAAATTTGGTTACTAAAGAGATGTCAATCAGTAAAATGCTTGATACATAGAGTCTGAAATTTTATCTTCAAACACAGTGGAATATTACTCAGCTATTAAGGAAAATGAAATTAAGAAACTTGCAAGAAATGCATGGAATTGTAAACAGGCATACTGGGTGAGGTAGCCAAGACCCAGAAAGACAAATGTCAGAAGTTCTCTCTCATAAGAAAGAGGTAGTTTTAATTCCCTAAATAGGTGTGTTTCTATTGGAAAATCCTTAGAGATTAGGAAAGTAATAAGGTGTCATGGGGTGAGGGGGAAGTGGCTCACAGGAGAAGTGGTAGAATGCAGTGATATGTTTAGGAAAGGTGTGATGGTTTGAAGGAAAATGCCCCCCACAGGCACCAGTTATTTGGAAAGTTTTGTTCCCAGATTATGGCACTGTTTTAAGAGGTTTTAGAAGGTGTGGCTATCCTGGAGGAAACAAGTCACTGGGGGTGGGCTTAGAGAGTTCTTAAGCTTTGCCAGATCTCCAGTCCCTCTCTTGCTTCCTGTGCTTGTGTGATGATGCGAGAGCTTCACTTTTCTGCCCCTGCTCCAACAACCTCCAGCCACCATGCTTCCCTACCATGATGGAGTATAATTCCCCTGGAACAGTAAGTTCAAATAAACTCTTCCTTCTATAAATTGCTTAGGTCAATGTATCTATCACAGCAACAAAAAAGTGACAAATACAGTAATTGCTGCCAGAGAGGGGTGTTGGCTGTGAAGAGCCTGACCATGTGGGGTTTTGAAGAAATGTGGAAGACTGGAAGGTTGGGCTAGAAAAGTAGTTTATTGCTGTAAGCAGAGCTTAACAGGCCATTCTAGTAAATGCCTGAAAGAAAGTAGTGATGAGAAAAATGTAGTTCCAGAAGGAAATAAGGACTTAAGCAGCACTTGTGATATTTTAGCTAGAGTGATAGTCTGGCTAGAGTCTGCCTAGAGCCATAAAGCTTGCCTGAGGCTAAGTTGAAAAGCCATGGACTAATTTCTCTGTCAAAGAAATTTCAAGATAGCCTAATGCAGAAATTTTAGTGTGGCTATTAATGATGAATATTATGCAGATCTACAGTGAAAGGGCACAAATGGGGCAGAAAGAAATACAGTTTGGATTGCAAAAAGAGCACTAAGAAGATAAATGTTGAAGCCCTGACATGTGATGGAGAGGATTCCATTGATAAAGAGATTAAAGTGATTAAGGAGGGGCCTAGAGATTGAAATTTAAACAGTGGAGAGAGTGCCTCCAGGGCAAGACCACACCCAGATAAGCCTCCAACTTGTGAAAATGTATAAAGCAAGCTGAAGCCCATCCCAAACTTGCAGTCAAACTTCACAGTGTCATTCACCTAGTGCTGGGTTTAGAGGCATGAAAGATGCAAGAGTAAAAGGGTCATCAGTTCTTCCTCCAAGGTTTCAGAGAGCCACTAAGGCCAGGCAGCATGGAGCAAGGGGCACCCTTGCTTAGAGAAGGCCCTGATAGGCCATTGCATGAAGCTGTGAAGGTGAAGCCTGGTTGGCAATGGAGACCCCAAGAAGTTCATGATGGCAGATCTCTGAAGCATCTGCCAAGAAGCCCTGCACACAGGGAGTGGTACCAGCAAAAGAGAGAGATGTGTGTTGTACTCAGCAAAGCTAGATAGGCTGAGCCATCTAAGCCCTTTAGAAGTAAAGTCTCAGAAGTTGGACGTGGAGCTACTGGATTTAATGTTTTCCCTGCTGGTTTTTGGTCTTGTTTTGATCTGGCATTTCCTTACCATGCCTCCATTCCTCCCTTTTGGAAATGTAATATGTATTTGGTTCCACTGTGTGTTGGGAGTATGTAATTTGTTTTTTGATTTTATAGAGGCTTACAGTTAAGATATTTAACTGAGTCTCAGGAAAGACTGTGGACTATGGACTTTTAAATAGTATTGAGACATAGTATTGAGACTGATAATGACTATGGGGACTTTTAAAGTTGGACTAAATGCATTTTGTATTTTATATGGTCATGAGCCTATGGGGGGCAGGGGGTGGAATGTGATGGTTTGAATGAAAATGTCCCCCACAGGCTCCAAGTATTTGGAAATTTTGTCCCAGATGATGGCATCGTTTTGGGAGGTTTTAGGAGGTGTGGCTATCCTGGAGGAAACAAGTCACTAGGGGTGGGCTTACAGAGTTCTTAAGCCTTGCCAGATCTCCAGTTGCTCTCTTGCTTCCTGTACCTGCATGATGATGTGAGAGCTTCACTGCTGCTGCTCCTGCTCCAGCCACCTCCAGCCACCATGCTTCCCTACCATGACGGACTGTAATTCCCCTGGAACATTTAAGCTCAAATGAACTCTTCCTTCTATAAATTGCTTGGGTCAGTGTTTCTATCAGAGGAACAGAAAAGTGACTTATTCAAAAGGGTATTGAAAGATAGGCAAGGTTTAATTATAATGGTATGTAAAGGAAACATATGGAGAATGTATCAAAATAGTAATACTTTTATATATTATTGCAATTAAGAACAACTACAGACATTTGAATGACATTATCTATGCACTTATATTTTTATGTTAAAAGATATATTTTTTCTATTAAAACATCCACAAAAATGAATTTGTGACAAGAATAATGTATTTAATAGAAATGCTCCTTAAATGTCCATGTTACAAAAGATGTTTTGATTTCATTTAATTTCCAAATGATATCAAGAAGATGTGTTGATTTTGTGTAAAACTGATCAATGCCCTACCTCACCTATGGTCATCTCATATTATCTTGTGTGGACCTTTCACTTCTAACAATCAGTGAACTCTGGCTGGGAGAGGCTCCTCAATATACTTTTTTTTTTTTTTTTTGACTAATAGACATTTGTGTAAAGGTGTTCACAGACGTGTTTGAAAAGAACCAGTAATATGAAGGGGAATCTATGCTTACCCTTATTTTAAAATGAGCAGTGCTTGAGATCTTCAAACATTTTCATATACTTTTGTATTAATATTTGAACTATGCCAACAATTTTGAACACAACATAATGACATTTGAGTATGACTTTACAGTTGTAACTAAATGAGATTAGATGATTTTTTATCTGATTAAATTTTGCTTTGGAGAGTAAAATAGTAATTTTGTAATCATATTTTCTTTTACAAATGTCACAGCTCAAAGTTCAACTTGAAATCATTATAAATTTATTTTCCATAAAGCTCGTCGACAAAATTTATAAGGAGAAAATTAATGAAAATCAAGTGATGCTATGCTAAATATAATGAAAGCTGCAAATAACATTCCTGATTGCTGAGCAGAAATAATTTATGTGGTATTCCCAAATATTAAATATACTAATTCAATATAATCCTCGTATAAGAGATTTTTCAGACTCTTCTGAAATAAATGATATTATTATAAAATAACCTTTGAATTTTCACTAACAATATGGGATTTTTAAACTATTTATAATTGCAAACAAACAAATTTTGACTCTACAAGGGAACAAAAGTGGCATAGAATTAGCAAATAACATTTTATGTTCAAGTATATAGCTTTGCTGCATGCATGACATATACAATAATTGTTATATGTTACTTTAAGACTTTAAATAACTGATTGCCCTTATAGATGCAGATATTTAGAAAATAAAAGCTATTCCCTCGGAGTCAAAAGGTAATAATGTTTGAAACTGATGCTCTCCTGAGAAATTTATAAAATAAGTTTGTATGAATACGTGATGATATTCCCTGTAATTTTTTTTGTACTTCAGAACTCAGTACAATAGTACAGGAGAATGTTCAAATTTGCAACTTATCACATCATTTGCATTTACTGTCTTTTCTAAAAGGAAATAATGCCTGTTTTCCAAGTCCAAATTATAACCCCTTCACATGGATGTTTTTCCTGGTTTCATGTCCTAACTACACCTATGAGGTATGCTATTTATATATGCAAATGACTGAACTTTATTCAATAATATATTGAGTGTACATGTTAATATTTTGCTAATATTATACCTAACTTGTATATAATTTTTACTTAAAGATAATAATTTTAATTAAAGTCGTAGTATTATGAAAATCATATTTTCCATATTTTCCCTGCAGAAAAAAATGGAATATTTTCACAATAATATTTTTATATATTAGGAAGAATTTGAAATTTTTAAATAAAAATTGAGGTATATCAGAATTTTAAGTTTTAATCAAGCTTTTACACAATGCTTTCTCTTTTATTATGAATTTCTCGATATTTTGAGGAAATTTCAAAAGCTGTGTTGAAGTTATTATGTGTAATTTCAGCCAATAAAATTTCTAATGCTGTGAGCATTCAAATTACATATTTAAATCCACAACTAATCAAATTGATAGATAAGCCATAGCTATATGTCAATTTTCCTTTCCATTTTAACAGATTGGATCATGGATTAGTTTCACAGTCATGACTCAAACACTTCCAGGTAAGATCAAAATTTTTTTGATAATTAATCAACATGAATGCATTTGTAGGAGAAGTTGATCCTGAGAATAAGTTATTGTAGTGCTAATGTGAGTGCATTTGCAAAAGATTTTTTTGAATATTTATTTATTGTTTTTATTTTATGTGTAAGAGTGTATTGCCTGCATGTATGTGAGTGCAACCTTGTCATGCAATGCTGTGAAGGTCAGAAGAGTGCTTTGGATTCCCCTGGAACTGGAGGAAAGGATGGTTCATAGCCGCCGTGTGGGTGCTGGGAATTGAACCCGGGTCCTCTGCAAGAGCAGTCAGTTCTCTTGATAGCTGAGCAGTCTCTCCAGCCCCTGTGAAAGTATTTTATGTTTTATTTTTATTTTTAATTTCAGTATTAAAATTTTTTCAATATTATTTTTTATTTGTATCTATACTGACACCTAATACAAAGTAGCACACATAACAGAAATATATTTATTAGTCACTGAGATTTTGTTAAGAACATGTAGTGCTAGATATGGAGGCTGTGGGAGGGTGCCATCTGGGAAGTGGGTGTATATTTGAATAAGATGTTTTGGGATATTCTGTGACATATATACATACATATATATATATATATATATATATACAAATATTCATTTCATTCATTCTTAGTTTTCTTGAAAATAATTATAGGTAATAATTAACATATTGTGCATATTTGTGTGTAGGTATATTTATATAGGCATGTGGAAGTTCATTGTAAAAAAACCATAAAATTCTTATTCAGAGGAGTATTTTCCAAAGTACAGCATATTAATATAAGTTATTTTGGAGTTTGATATTCATGATTATTCCTTTGTGTAATAACTATTATTTTGATATATAATATTCTGAAGAGAGAATTTAATGTACTGAAAAGCATCATGTAATATTGGGAAATACTCTATGTTGTAGGTGATCCTTCATAGCTTTTAATATAGCTATCTATGTTTACTGTAGAAATACAAAAATATGATTATGCCCTTTGTCTTTCAGTTGGAATTTTCACATTCTTAATGAGTATCCAGATGACTTTGTGGGCACAAAAGAAGCATAAGATTTATCTGAAGAAATTTAACTCATATATACATAGGAAATCAGCAATAATTCCATTCATATTGTAAAAAGAACTTTTTTTTTTTTTTTTAAAGACTCATTATGTAGCCCCGGCTAACCTGGAATACAAAGTTTAGAACAGGTAGACTGCAAACTCACAGAGATTCTCCTGCCTTTGCCTACTGAGTGCTGGGATTAGAACTGTGTGTCACTGTGTCTGACTAAAGTATAACTATTCTCATCTCACCAAGAAGGATAATGTATAAATTTATTCAAAAATACTCAGGAAAAGATGATTCAATATTAAGATGCAGCAATTAATTAACAACATTATTTTGAATGATGAAATAAGTGGTGGTGGAATGTAGCCAAATTTCCTTTATAAAATAGATCAATGCAAAACAGGAGTTATGCTGGGCAGAGTGACTCATGCCTGAATAATAGCTGACTGAAAGCTGAAGCAGAAGGATTACCATGAATGTGGTACCATACTAGGCTAATGAATGTGGATCCATATTGGGCTATAATGGATACTCTGTCTTACAGCAAAAAAACTATCAAAAGAGATAAACAGAAATTATAAATAATAATATTAAGATATAAAAATAAATTATTTGCAGAGCTTGATCTTCACACATCCTGTTTTGCATCCTTAGTATTTCATAATACTATTTTCATAAGAAAAGTAAAATTATGCTTTCTAAAGTAAATATTTTTTAAAGTAAGTCTTTTAAAATGAGTAAATTTCAGAAATTGCTTTGATGTTTTTCTTTATTTCTCAATACTTTACTAAATGTCAAATGTCTGGGGCTGAAGAGATGGCTCAGGGGTTGAAAGCACTGGTTGCTTTTGCCGAGACCCAGGCTGAATTCCCAGCACCCACACGGTACAAACAAAAATCTATAATACCAGTTTCAGGGGCAACCAATATTCCCCTCTGTCATCTGCAGGCACTGCATGACATGAGTGCACTTACATACATACAGGCAATACATACATACATATAAAAAATAAATATAGGCAAATAATTTACGAAGTTAAATGTCTTGTTTTAGTTCAGACTTTTGAAAATTTCATATATGTTAAAAGAAAATTTTTTCACATAGCTATTTATTAATGTTATATACATTATATATGACTACTCTCATATAATAATTCAAAGTTTTTCCTCAATATTGGTCTATCTTTTAGATATATGTTTGAAATGTAAATTTATCATTTTTATTAACATATGACTTGTATTTATATAAACATACTATATTTACAATGCATATATACAATTATAAAGGACTGCATGGCAAAATACTGTTTTTGCATATTAAGACTATAATATTCTTTAGTTTTTGCATTTAAATTTTCTTTTTGTCTCAGAGCCTACATGCATGTATATTTGGGGGGTAAAGATGAGTGTGTATGGTAACCCACACATATATTTGTCAGAGAAACTAATGATATGTAATTAAAAGCATATGTTTCCTAAAATGTTTGAAAGGATGCTTATTGCTTCATTTTAAATCTGTGATCTTCAAATTGGTTAATTTGTAGAATTTTTTCCTATTTTCATATATATGTATACATATATATGCATTAAAATATGCCTCATCATAACTTGGTAACAGAATATGTTGATGAAGATAAACCAATGTAGGGGAGTCTGTGGTTGGACCAACACACTTACACTGATCTGGCTGTACAAGGTAGCTTTTTATTATATCTGACCAATTATTCTAGATGTCCTTAAAGCTGAATTTCATTAGTATCAGAATTACTATATTTAAGAACATACATACTGATAAAGATCCCCATAACAAATGTACTACCCCAGCAAAAAATTTATTATCATTCCTAAATGTTAAAATATCTCTGGGGTAAAGAATTTCAAAATGTTTTTAAAATATTTTATTAACTTTTATTTTATGTTTTCTACATACATGTATGAATATGTGGGTCAAAAGAGGCAAGAAATTCCCTGAAACTGAGTTATGGACCACTGTTAGTTACCACATTGGTGCTGGAAACAGACCCTGGGTCATTTGCAAGAGCACTCAGTGCTCTTAACCACTGAGCCATCTTTTCAGCACCCGGTCTCAAAATTTCATCTTCTGAAATTCTATTCTGCAAAAAATATGACATTTCCTGTTCTTGGAAATTTTTTCAATGCATTAAATCACACACATTTAATTCAACTTGGCATTCAACTACCTATCATAGATACCCCATTAATGAAGCAAAAGAAATTTTCTACATGAGTTCATGGATGCTGACTGATAGAAACTCAGAAGATTTCACATTCTTAGATGAGTAGGAGATTTGTATTGTGGCAAAAAATGATGAGCTATGGACTGTATATTTTTTTATTAGCTACTTTTTAGATGTGAGAAAACACCATGACCAAGCAATTTACAGAAGGAAGAGGTTTTGTTTGTTTGTTTGTTTGTTTGTTTGTTTTATGGTTCCAGAGTCTAAGAGCCCAACATGGACAGGAAAAATGGTGGCAGGAGGTAGCCAGAACAGAAAACTGACCGCTCACATCTTCAGTCATGCACAGGAAGCAAAGTAGGGCAGACTGGAAGTGAATATGACTATACACACTCAAAGCTTGCCCAGTGTCATGCTCCTCCAGTAGGGTCCCATCTCATAAAAGTCCTGTGACCTTCCCAAACACAGTCATGAACTGTGGACCAAGTGTCCAAACACTGGGAGCCTGTGGGGACACATTGAAATCACCACGAATCTGCTCATTTGCATGTTTATTTTAATTAGCTGGCACATCACTTTCCATTTTTTTTTACTTCCATTTCTCAATTGCTTTTTCATGTCTGTGTCATATGCTTGGTAGACATCCCTTAATGGAATCTGCAACTATGAATTTAATTTTAACTCAATCTATAATTTAATTATAATGTTTTTCTCCTTTTCTGTACTTCTGAGATTCTGTCAAAAGCATCAATAAAGAGATCCTAATATATACATTTGATGTCTTTAAAACAATTTAATTAGCTTCAGAACTATTATACTTAAGGGCATACACACTGACAAAGATTTGCATAACTACTGACTTTTCATGCTATTGAAGAAGTTATAAGATCTTGGGACTGATCAAAATTAAACCAGATAGACATGATGATTGATAGATAGATAGATAGATAGATAGATAGATAGATAGATAGATAGATACATAGATGATTGATAGATAGATGATAGATAGATATATAGATAGATAGATAGATTAGATAGATAGATGATAGATAGATAGATATTTTAATATAAGGCAAGTCTTGCCTTGAGACAGATTGCAGTAATTTGAGTTCAGTGTGTTGATTCCTTTGTAGAAACAACATTCAGGTCTCCTGGATTAGATATCTGTGCCTTGGCATTGCTTATATCTCTGTGGGTTTGGTGACAGGGAGGAATGTATGTGAGGGGTAATTCAGAAAATCAATCATTTATGTCTAAGACCCCCAAATAAAATACTATAAATAGTTTTAACATATCTTACAGATTGATCATATCTGTACAAATAAAAATACTTGAGAAAAATTAAATTTAGATATATTTTTAGATATGCTAAATACATTAGCAATATAATCTTTTTCAGTTATTTACTGAATTTTCCACTGTCCCACTAAATTTTCACCTTCTTGCTCTCTGTTTGACCCACCCTCACTTTTTTCAGGGTCTCTTGCTCAGGGCACTATTGGACAAATCACATAATATACTTTTATATGAATTTTTCAATTTATATCTTGGGTAAGGAGGGGGAAAATGGAGGTAACTTACAAAGAAATGAACACCAGACTCCTGGCACCCAGCTCTACATGGCTTGGACTGTCATTCCAGATTGCCACCATGTCCTCCCACAGTCTCCGTTAACCTTTGCCAATTAATCTTTGGCCTGCAATCTTGCCCCATGTTGGTAAATGTCACCTCTCGTCTACGCAGATGAGACTCCAGGGCTATCTTTCTCTCCATACTCACCACAGTGCGCCGTTCACGATATTCGTGGCTTCCATCCCAAGATGGCACCCAGAAGCCCCTCCCTCCGTGGCTAACTCTTCCCCCGGAACTTCTCTGCAGCAGGCCCCATTGCTTGAAGGAACCAGGTCCCTGAGACACACTCCACCCCATTCCTCTGCTCTTACAATCTTTCCACCAATCTTCCACTAAGGTCACTGAGCCTTGGAGCAGGTGACAGATGTAGGGCAATTTCTCTTTTATCATGGCAAGATAATGACTTTTTGGGCCTCCCAATTATTTGTCTTTAAGGTGTGGCCATTACTCTCAGTGGTGTTTCTTCTACTATAAAGACAAATGGAAGGAAGTAGACACATTTAAACAAACATGAATGTAAATACAAATACCTAGAAGGTATCCCAGTAGGTGTGCTATATTCATTAAACAGTATACTTGTGATGGCTTCCCCACTAAGACCTGTAGCCCCCTCTCGTGTTCATGAGGGTGAGACACCAGGGCTCTCTTTCTCTCCACACCCAGTGGTGCTGCTCATGGCTTCCATCCTAAGATAGCACCTAGAAGCCCCTCCCATAGTGGCTAACTCTCCCTAGTCAATTCTTAGCTGCAAGCCCTGCCCCTTGGTTGAACCAGGTCCCTGGGACAGTCACTTTAAACATATTTCATTAAAACACATTATACCACTGTTTCATTCTTTAATTTTACCTTTTTTGGTCTTTTTAAACAGGGTCTCCCTGTAGCTCCAGATGGCTTGGAACTCACTATGTAGATCAACTGGCCTCAACCTCACAGATATCCACCTGTCTCTGCTTCCCAAGTGCTGGGACTAAAGGTGTGCACCACCACACGGGCTCTAAATTCTTTATTCTACCATATTAAAAAAAAGTTTATATATTGAATTTTTGACATTTTCATACAATATAGTTTGGTGGTATTTAGATCTTCTCCTACCCGCATCTCCCCCACAGTCCCCACACAATTCAATGTACTCTTATATATACACATATGTAATATTACCTATGGAGTCTAAATTATGACCCCACATGTCCTTCAGTGTGAGTCCATCCACTGGGCCCACAAAGAGTCCCAGCCTTGTATGTCACTCACCCTCCTAACAGCCATCAATTTTCAAAAGTTTATAAGGTTAGATTGGGGTTTCTTAGCTACTTCCCCAGGACTATGCTGAGATTTTTCTCTGTTTTAATTTTGTATAGAACTTGTGCATGCTCTCACCATTGCGGTGAGTTCATATGATCAACTGTTTGGACACCTCTGTTTCCTTATGGTCATCCACCCACTCTGGCTTTTACAGTCTTTTCCCCTCTTCTTATGCAATGACCACTGAGCCTTGTGTGAGATACTTAACCCTAAGTAGCATATCTGCATTGCAACATTCACACATAGGATGAATGTATATTTCAAGTCTCACCAGAGAATTTCTTTAGGCAGCATATGGTAATTTATACAGAATCCCACAGTTGGTCAATGTGTAGGGAACAAGAAGCCGAAGAGTGCTTATCCTTCAGCAGGACATCTATTTAAACAT